TGAATAGGTCTTTAAGAAATACAAAATTAGAACTTTCACAGAAACTACACAAAATAGACAAGGTTACTTTTTAGAGACACAATCTTATTGAAGAAGAGGTTGAGGATTTTAGGGAAACGATCTCAAGAAACACTAAATTGAGACTTCTAGAGAAACAAGCCTAAAAATCTCAATGAGAAGGTTCATTATCAAAAAATATTTGGGAAGACTAAACTGAACTTTCTATGACACAAGTCTTAAGAGAGTTAAGACTAAATGCAACATTACAGACTGGTTAACTCCTCTACACGAGAAAGTCGCGTTGAGAAATTATAATACTGAAAAGTTGACTTCTCTTCTCAAGATAGTCTAGTTAAAAATTATACTACTGAAAAGTTGATTCCTCTCCGTGAGAAAGTCAAATTGAGAATGACATCACTAAAAGGTTGACTCCTCTTTATGAGAAAGTCAAAAATCAAAACACTGAAAGATTAACTTCTCTTTACGAGAAAGTCAAGAATGACATCACTAAAAGGTTGACTCCTCTTCACGAGAAAGTCAAGAATGACACCACTAAAAGATCGACTCTTCTTCGAGAGAAAGTCAAAGAAGGCAACACTAAAGATTGAATCCTTATCAATTTGTTCCATCATCTTTCAACAAAATGATTTGCTTTCTGAATCTATTTGAGTTGCCCCAATCTCATGTGTGCAAGTCCTTTTAATCGATTGATCCACTTCATCATACCCGAGAATATTTTATTTCCTCTTACATCTGATGGTCCTGCAAAAGACACATATGTTAGTAACTAGCATGTCTGAGGGTTTATTTAGTTGTTTATTCTTTCTCTTTATCTTTTTATTATTATTTCATTTCATTTATTTTTTTTAAAAAATATTTTAAATGAGAAACTTTGAAAATCGCTTTCTCATTTTCTTACAAATACCATATGAAAGCATCTTCCCCGAATGTCTTATAGATGGCCCGAAGGACTTATCATCTTGCTTGAAAGCCTAACAGATGACTCGAAGGATTTAATCATCATGCTCGAAAGGCTTACTGATGGCCCGAAGGACTTGCAGATTTTGGAAATAGTCTACTTGTAAGAAACTTTGGAAATCGCTTTCATACTTGTCAAAAATTAAATTTTCTAAAAACACTGAATGAGAAACTTTGGAAATCGCTTTCTCAGTTTTTTTAAAATTCATGTGAAAACATCCTACCCGAAGGTGTTATGGATGGCCCGAAGGACTTATCATATTTGAAATAGTCGACTGGGTAAGAAACTTCGGAAATCACTTTCTTACTTTTCAAAAATTTCATTTTCTGAAAACATTGAATGAGAAACATTGGAAATCGCTTTCTCATTTTTTAAAAATTCATGTCAAAACATCCTACCCGAAGGTCTTACGGATGGCCCGAAAGACTTATCATCTTGCTCGAAAGACTTATGGATGACCCGAAGGATTTAATCATCGTGCTCGAAAGACTTACTAATACCCTGAAGGACTTATAAATTTTGGAAATAGTCTGTTGGGTAAGAAACTTTGGAAATTACTTTCTTATTTTTTTAAAATTCATGTGAAAACATCCTACCCGAAGGTCTTACAGATGGCCCGAAGGACTTATCATCTTGCTCGAAAGACTTACAGATGACCCGATGGATTTAATCAACATGCTCGAAAGACTTACTGATAGCCCGAAGGATTTATCAATTTTGGAAATAGTCTACTGGTAAGAAACTTTGGAAATCGCTTTCTTACTTTTCAAAAATTTCATTTTCTGAAAACACTTAATGAGAAACTTTGGAAATCACTTTCTTATCATTTTTTTAAAAAAATTAATGTGAAAACAACCTACCCGAAGGACTTATCATTCTTGCTCGAAAGACTTACTGATGGCCCCAAGGACTTACTAAGTAAGAAACTTTGGAAATTGTTTTCTTAATTTTTTTCTCGAAAATCACTTAATGGTCGGGTAACATGCCACCTTCAAAGTAATGCTTCTTCTGTTAATTGGCCCACTCTGTTCCTCAAGTTTTGCCTCTCTAAATATGATTCCCTGTACTTGAGGTTTGAATTCTAGCTTTCACTTGTTGGGATTTTGACATCATGAATCTTCTCTTTTCACTGGAAGATCTGTAAAAGACATGTGTTTATATGTGAAACGCGAATGCAATTAAATGTATCAAAGTAATGCATTTTCATTTATGCAAATGATGGTCTCATGAATGCATAAATGGTGATTCAATTTTCTTTGACTCCAAAATGGGGAACTCAGTCTTCTTTCACTTGATCACTATTCTCTAGGGTTTAGCTCGATATCAGCGTAACAACTTATGATTTCAAGCTTGCATTCTTCTGAAGATCTGCTCGATCATCTTGTAGTATTTGTTTTTTGTCTTCATTTCAGAGAAAGTGTTTTCTCTCTCGAATTCTTGCTATGGTCAGAAATAGGACATTGATGCCCCTTTTTGTCCTTGGCTCAAATGCGTTATCAGAGTTGTTTTTCTGGGACTCTGCTGTTGATTAATGCTCGACTGGTTTCCTCTACAAGTTAAGCTCTAGTCAAATTCATGATCTTCCTAGGACACTCCAAGTTGTGAGACTCATTCTCAATGTCTTCTTGGTTTGAATCTCGTCATCTCAACAAGATCTGAGTTTCTGGTCATGCCCCAAAGTGGGTACTCATAGCTCCCTTCATGCCAAAATATCTTAATCTTGAATGGTCTCAATCTGGTGTCACTAAACAACAATGTTGTTGAATAGCTTGAGGGTTTCTCTTCATGATTCCATGGACATTATGTCCATTTAAGTAGTGATCAATTCTTTTAACAAAAATATCTTGCATTCTTTTAACAAAAATATCTTGCATTTTTTTATATGAGTTGGGATATATGCCCATTCCAAATAATACAATTATCTTCTTCTTGACGGATTACTGACAAATTCACAAGGAATTGTTACAAGCTTCATTATTATGACATCATTTATTATTATTTTCTCTAATAGAGACAGAATGAGCCTCACCAGCTTCAAGGACCTTTTCACTTGAGATTGTCTTGTTTGAAAATATTTTTCTTCTTCTTTTTATTTCCAAAAAATTAAAAAATATCAATTAAAATAATTTTGAAAAATGTTTAATCAAATTTTTTTTTGAAAAATATATCCCCTTTATAGGTTTCACAATTGAGACAAATCATAAAGCAAGAGTTTAATGAATATCAAACAAGTCAACTACTCTTTTAATCTTTCAAAAAATCATAACCCATTAGCAAGTGTCAAAATTACTGACAAATTTAAGGTATAGGTTGATTCTGAAAAGGTAAGATCTCTCAAGTTTGCCTTTTTATTACAACATATCTGTCTCTTTGGGCGTCTACTGACTTGAAGAATTGGTTGTTATGCTCATCTTCTATAGATACTTATTGGTTCCGAACTCTCAGAAACACCTTTAGGATGTGTGGTACTTCATCAAGAGCTTTGTAAGACCGACTCTTATGTCATCGTTGCACAATTTAATATTCGAGCTGCTCTTTTAGGTTTTCAACTCGAATCATCCTTTGGCTTCAAGACATTATTCAAAATTTTATTTCTTGAACCCCCTTTATTATTTTTCCTATCATGCATTAAAGATTTTAGAAAACCAATTTTTGCAAATAAAAATTAATCCTGAGAAGTGGAATGAAATCTGAAGATAGTCTTTTTCACTTAGAAATCCATGTATGATTAGAATGGACTTTTCAGACAAGTAACATAGGCCAGGGCTCACAGTTATGAAAGAAATAGATAAATAGGCCCAAACAAGGGTTTAAGGATAATTGAACCAAGGACCAATTCGTTCTGATGCCTTCAATCTTGCCTTGCTTGGCTTGGATCTGCCTGGTACCTATTTTTTATCTTCCTTTTCTTTTTTCGGATTCCTCTAGACTGCCCATTTTTGGGTTTTCACCCTAGAGTTCATCTCCATTTTCTTATATCTTCAGCATTTCTCGCTCTTATTGTTGAATCCGAATCTTTGAAACGATTGCACTTAATCAACTTTGTGGCTTGAGGCTCAATGAGTCACTCATCTTGAAATACTTGATTTATTGTCTTTTTTTATTTTTTTTCTATTTTTCTATTTTTTTTCTTTTTTTTCTATTTTTTCTTTTTTTCTATTTTTTCTTTTTTCTCTTTTTTCCTTCTTCTTTTTCTCTCTTTTCTCTTTTCTTCTTCTCTCTCCTCTTTATCTCTATATTTTTATGAATTTATTAGATGAGTATATGACTCCAATTACTTTGAGCACCTTCATGTCCTCTTTATTTCTAGCATTTCAAAAATTATTTCGTTATTCTTGACTGAATTTGATCTTCAAGCACGTTGTATTTGATATGCGTAGTGGTTCTTTGTTATTCCTCTTTATTTCACGGAGGCTTGCCCCTGTAATAAATCATGGATTGACGGTTTTTACTCCTACAAGCAGATATCCTTCAACTTGCCCCCAAGTGTGGAGGGTGATCCTTGGTTAGAGTTGAATTAGAAGGAAAATAATTCAGGCTCAAATAGGGACGACAAAGGATATATTTTCTCTTTTTGTGAAGGGATAAATGAAAGAAGGTTGTTCATCATTTCATACTCAGAAGTTCTTGCAAAAGAGGTATTATCAGGGGGATGAACATTTAGAATTAACTTTTATTTACATGAAAATAATGTAATTAATACATGATAGAATTATTTAAATCATTCCCTTTATTTCTTCTTCTTCTTGCTTCAATCATGCCCCAATTATTCTAACTCCTCTTCAAAAAGTTGATCCATGACGCCCCATCTCGTCTCTTTTTGTAGAAAAATTCATGGAAAAATGAAAGTTTTGCACTTGAAGCCTTCTGGTTTTACTGGTATAAAGAAAAATAATGGTTTTATGTCTGAAAATACAAATGTGTGACTTTGAAGTCATGTATATGGAGAAATGTAGTGTTATAAACAGATCGGCTCTACCCGAAAGGGTAAAAGTATGAATTTGGTATCTTGAACAAAAAGGTAAAGGTATAACTTTAGAGTCTCAAATAAATGTAGTGTCATAATTTGGTTTTGGTAATGACCATGAATTATGTAAGGTAAAAGAGATCGAGTAATAGTGTTTTTGGCTTTGAAAGAGATATGAAAGGTCTAATTTTGCCACTTGCCAAAGATCTATAATTCTTGAAAAAAATAAAAGAATCTTTAATTAATTTGATACTCAAAGAGCTTTAAGATTAAAAATTTGATTCATTACTCATGACCTTAAAAGTAGCATAAGTTCAATCATCAAACAATTTTTTTTACGAAATAATTAGGTAAATAAATAGAGAACAAAAATACACTCAAACAAGACAATACAAGTGAAATAAAGATTTATGATGGATGAAATGATCTATTAATAATTAGGATGCCTCATATTGTGCTTTGATGTCCCAATCGAGTTCGTCATCCACTATTCCACCATTTCTTGTGTCAACGTCTCATTTTCCACAAGCATCTCTATTTCCTTTAACAACGGTCTACAATTCCCCATAGAATGCCTAGATGCCCCCAAGTGGAAATCACAGACAATGTCTTGATCATAGCTGTGGGCAGAAGGGTTTGGTGGCACTTTCACTGGCCTCGGTGTAAGGTATTGACCTTTAATCAAATGGGGATATAGATCTAAGATAGAAGTTTGGAACACTTTCAGAGTATTTCTTGATCGTGAGCCTCTCTTTGGTCGTTTCGAGCGACTACCTGCTCCTTTTCTTTTACGGCTGTGAGGGCTCTAGACATGACATTTATTCACCTCATCAGCTTTCGCTTCTTGATTGGTTGGGCTTTTGAAAGTGACTTTCAAGTTTCCTTTGCTGATTGCATTTTCAGTTAACTCCCCATTTGTCACAAGATCCTCAAAGTCATTCGTCGAATTTACCAGCATTAAATCAAATAAAGGAGCTGGAAGAGAATCGTGAAATATATATGATATTTATTATTCTAACAAGGGAGGTTGAACTTATGTTGCCACTCCTCTCCATCTTAGGGCATATTCTTTAAAGCTTTCAGTAGCTTTCATCATTATTCTTTGAAGGTCTTGACGTTTTAAGGCTAAGCCTTTAACATATCGATATTGCCCCAAAAATGTATCAGCTAGATTGACCCATCTCTTGATCTGCTCTCAGTTCAAATGGTTATACCATACTACAGTCGGCCTAGAAAGACTATCATGGAAGTAATGAATCAACAGATTATCATCATTTAAGTACCCTTCCATGTTTCTGCAAAACATTTTCAGATGAATTAGAGGATAACTGGTGACATCATATTTCTCAAAATTAGACACCCTAAATTCATGTGGTATGACCAAATCAGGGACCAGACTGAGTTCTCTTGCTTCTAACTCTTAGTGAGAGGCATTAACATTTTTCATAGCTCCAATGGCTTCATTCAACCACTTGAATTTGTCTTCAAATTGCTTATAATTGATAAGGCTCTTCCATAGGTTTGAGTGGGATGCTCCAGGGTAGTTTACCATTCTCGACGTATTAGTCTGATGAGATTGGTATCCTTTATCAGTGATTTCCTCTCTATCACCCACCTTGGTTGCCAACACCTGGATCATTTAGTTCGATACACCTTGCAGAGAACCCGATGCTCGATTCTTCATATCTTGTTGTAACTCGGCCAACTGCTCTTGCAACCGATCTTGTGATTTCTCATGAGATTGCTCCATTATTTCCATTTGTGTATTCATGATGACAATGGAGTAGTATGAATGAATGATCTTGGTATTACTGTCACATAACCCTCCATAAGTTATTTCCATGTTTTCATAACTAATGCATGTGAAATGCTTAAATAAATACATGCAATGCAAAAGATCTCCATTTTTACTTCTAATGAAAAGTGATCTTCGTGTCTTTGTGAAGGGTCTTCTCGTCTTTGGTATGATTGAATCTATCTCCTGAGGGAACATCTTGACCTTTACGCCTTTAAAGGAAGTCTTCAATCAACTTCAAATTTCTTCATTCATCGGATGTCTTTCTTCATGGATCATTTGAACATCTTTGGATCTCCTGGTTTTGACTACATGGTTAAGAATTTCTTGTCTCATTATGACCAACCTTCTTATTTAGTCAATCACTTGTGAATTAACACCTTTATAGGACATGAATATGCAAATGCAATAACATAAAAATTAAATATACAAAAAACAAAAATGGGTTAGTACACATAAGATAAACAACAAGATAATAAGTACCGTAATCATTAAGTAAAGTCTACCCTCACATGCTGCCTACCCAATCATGCTTTAGCAGATCCTACCCAGACATGATATCTACCCACATACTTTGTTATTTAAAAAAAAATCCTAACCACATGATATCTAATTTGTATGTTTGTTTGAAAAATAAACCTAACTGCATGATCTCTAGTTCTCATACATTTATTTGGAAAGTGAAATTAAATGACTAAAAAAGCTTTTCCTTGTGTACTCTCCCTCAAAGATTTTTAAGGTTTGGATTAGGCTCTACCTTGGTTTCGGGTTCTAGGTTCACTATATGTTGGGTTTGGCTCTAAAGTATAAGGTTCTCAAATTATCCTTGTTGGTGCCCCATTGGGCTGCCAAACCCTCAATCCTAGCCCATCACAGGCTTTTGGATCGAGTTCAATTCGAGGGAACACACCTCTTTATATCTATGCATAGGTGAATAGCATCACGAGGACTATAAGGCGTAAGCTCCAAGAGCGATTCACTATCCCATGCGGAGGTGAAAACCACACGAGAGAGTAGTTTCTCACTCCTACTTAAATTGGACGGAGCGGGGTTTTAGCTCATATTATGATAATGCAATTGTGTGCAGTGTGTGAGGAAAAGCGAAAAACAATACACAACACACAAACTCATTTCTCAAATCCAAAAATACACAATTAATCTGAAAACATTAGCAAACAAGTCAATACAACTATTTAGTGGTTAATCAAATTAAAAACAACAATTTATTTAAAACCAAACAAGGGATCAAAAACCAAATTAGAATGAACTTATAACTTTTATTTGCGAAGACAATTAATTAATTTACTACCGGCTTGACTCTCTAAAAAGTCCTCAGCGGAGTCGCCCAGCTGTCAAAAAGTTTTTTAAAAAAAATATGATTTTAAAAACCACACCACAATTTTTAATTTATCTCTTTCGGTTAATTTTTAATTAAAAAGTAATGTGATTTAAAAAATCTCTTGTTTTGAAAATTTTGGGATTCCTTTTTAAAAATAAAAACGTATGGTTCGAGAAGTCACCACCAATCTTTTGATTAAGGTGTGATTGGGCACCCAAAACATATTTTGTCATTTTAATAAAATATTAATTATAATTAAAACAACAAATTTGAGGTTTGTGTTACCAAAATTCGAGTTCAGGAGTCGGTTACGCGTGGGGGAATGATTAGCACCCTCATTGCGACATAAATCGATACCTAGTCGATTAATTAATTGTCTTTGCATTGAAATTTACAAGTTCGAATTTAATTTAGCCTATGATCCCATAAAGCAACAATTTTATGAATTTTAAAATGGATCTTAATAATATTTAATTATTTCCTATCGAGAAAAGACGACCCCTCATACCTTGAGGTAATCTATTCTTACTCCAATCGAAATATAGAAATATTACAGTTCCATCGTAATATTCAAATGCACAAAAACAAATTAAATTAAAACTTACCAATCTTTTCTCAAAGAATTTAAATGAACTAATATTTCTTATTCTCTCATTCCCAATTTTTAGGTGAGGAATCATTTTTTATTGTTTCACCGTTGGGATACACTTTTAGTTTAAAATCATCGGAAGTGACTCTCTAATAAGTTAAGACAAGCACCTCATAATAGTTTTAAAATAAAAGGATATTACCTTTAATCCAATTATTTAATATGAGTCAAGTTATGCATATGAAAATATCATACATTGCATTCGATCAAGATAAATGACACTAGTCCTACATGCACACAAATGAAAACAGTGGATAAATAAAATGGAAATTAAATTAGGCACTACACTATCCCATCGAAATTAAATATGTGAAGTTTAAGTGTGTAACCATAACATCTAAATATAGCATGTAATAAATACCCCCAATGCAAATTCACATAATTATTAAAAGGAAATATTCAACATGTTACAATTGATATTTAAGCAAAAATATTAAAGACAAAATTAAGCCTAATTATAAAATACATACATATATATATACACGTATGTATATATCTACAGGAACACAAATGCAACCTATTCTAGATGGAATATATGTATGAAACATGAAGACATACAAAACTAAGAACACACATATTTACGCAAGAGGAAGGGTATCATATGGTGATTAAAATACAAAGGGAGCAAATTTGGGGGTTAAAATTTGAAACTATGCCCACATTGAACCACGAAACATAACAATAACCATATTCCCAAACGTTAGTGTTAATATAAACCCATACATAGGATTTAAATAAAAAAATAAAATCTAAAATGATATTTCAAACGTACTGATAAGTGAGAAATTAAAATGATTAAATTTGGGGACTAAGACACAATCCGGCAAAATTACAAGTTAAAAAATAAAAACAGCAAGAAGTTAAAGATAATTAGGGGACCGAAGCAGCTAGTTAAACAAACGAAGGCCATAAAACTAAAAAATATCACATTCTAGGAATTAAATTGTAATAAATCCAAGAAACTACACTAGACTAAAATGAAAACCATGAAAATTTTATGCCAAATATGCAAAGTCACGAAAACTCAAAACAACATAGCCCAGGACTAAAATATAACACCTGTATAACTTGATGGAGAAATCCGAAACTGTAAAAAATATGAAACTTGGACTAAAATGCATTAAAACAAACATTGACAGTGTTTACACGGAAAATAACCCACCCAAGGCGCTGAAATAAATTTCCCTTACCCCCTAAAACGCTGACGTTTTGGCATGTTGATATATTTAATATTTCAGATAACAAATAGCCTAACCCTCATTTTATCAGCCGCTCCGCTCCTTCTCTTTCCCTTTCTTTTTTTTTTCCTTCATTCCTCTTCTCAAACCACACGGCCACCGTGACCGCGGTCGATAAGGGCTCCGATGAGGGGCCAACAGCCTAATACCCTCATCCTCTTCATAATCCAAACCCCAAAGACACCCTAAATCGACGTGAAAACCGCCTAATGAAATCTGAACCTACCCAAACAGACTAGCTCACCTTTCACTCGACCACGGCCACAAAGACCACGGCCGATGCCCCTAAATGCCCTACATGGGCGCGATTCACCTCTCCGTTCACCACCGTGGTGGTTACCTCCGATGAAGGACCTGAACCGACGAGGTAAAGGCCTCACTCTTCTCTGACCGAAAAGCTATAAATCAACGCCTAAGGGGGCCCAAAGCGACCCTTAACCTCTCGAAACTAAAGCCCGACTGCTCACCTTCCAGCGACCGGCGACCGACGACCGACGACTAAGGACCCAGGTAAACGAACCTTTACCTCTCTCCTATTCTCTAAACTTTTAAATAACCCCAAGGCTGACATGTAAAACTTTGGGAACCTAAGGACTCTCGGCTCCTCTCTCTGGCGAAAATCAGCTCGGATGAGGAACCAAACCACGCCGGTAACGTTTTGAATCCTTCCCTCTTCCATTTCCTACTTTAGTTTCGAAAGAAAAAACAAAATAAATGCTAGAAACATTGAAGAAAGAAAATAAAAAAACTTTTGAAAACGTTCTCTCTGTTAATGTGTATTGCTTGATTTTGCTTCTGTTGTTGGATCGTTAATGGAAATGGTGTGTTGCTTGTAAAAAAATGGGGAATCCTTTTACTACTGCCTCCGAATCGGAGGGAGAGAATACCCTCGTTATATTTCTTGATTCTCGAAAATAGGGGAAGAAGAACCCCGATTACATCCCTCTGTGTGATTTTTATATCCTTATTTTTCTGTTACAAAAGGAATATAAAAAAATTACATTTTTATCTCTTTTTCTCACTGTTTTTCCTTAGTATCGGTTGATGACTAAGCCTTTGATGGCTTGAGTTTGTTACACAATCCGTTGTTGAGAGAATCAGCCCAATTAGTATTGCACAATTGGCGTGAAGGATAGGTCCCAGCTAGGTGAATCGGTTGCTGGTGGGACCTTGCTGTTAGCTGGTATACGGTTTGGTGACGAGGCTTGGTGGGACCAGTTGGGACTGCTCACGTAGAGGAGAGGGGACCAATGTTGACCCGGGCAAAATTTAGGTATAACAATTCCTATCCATAAAAACATAAATAATTTGCAATCAAAATATAAGCAGAGTTCAACAAGATCAAATCAAAGCAAATGATATTTCTATATAAATTTAAAGAGAAGATCCTTAGATCTTGGCTACTCGGTGATGCTGCTCTCGCAGTCCACGCCGGTGGTGATTGAATGTTTGATTTGCTCTGTGGGAGGTTTAGCACGCCATGGCCATGGCGGTGCTGATAAAAGGATGATTGGGACTAGCAAATGGAATGAAGGAAACGGATGGCGGTCAGAAGACACTTCTCAAGGTGCACATTTCCTCTTTATATATGTTCTCCAAATGATACAATTGTCCTTTCACAAAAATTTGTATGATTGTTCGTACAGGTTCTAGAATATGAACTAGCTCAGCATAACCATCTGAATTCTAGAATGACAAGCTCTCATTAAATGATCGCAGCCACCAGCTCATTCATGTATGTTGCGGTGATGACCAACTCTTTGGCTACAGTGGCGACAAGTTCCTATCTGATCAAGGGCGAAGACATCAGTACAATTTTTTTTTAACATTTAAAGTGCAATCAAGGAGAAAATAGAGATAAAATGCAATAGAATATAAATATGCAATGCAACGACAACATTACTCTAAATGGAATATGATGACAATGAATGCAATGAAAAATGACATATCATGCACGACTTAGGGACAAAATAAGCTTAGAATATTGACAGATTTTTATGCTATTTTCAGTATTATCATACCCTCACACTTGTATGTTTGATTGTCCTTAAGTAAATAAAATAATTCAATCGCAAGAGCGAGTTTAAAGAGGTTTAATGCATTCACATTCTTGCTATATAACACCCTAATCCTATACAACTCGAAGATAAGACTAAGGCATTACACGGGACCACCGAAGTGGCTAACCCAAAATTTCAAAGCATGTTCATTTCCATTTTAAAAACATACTATGTGGTACCAAAAATGGCATACCAAAATAGTTGCAAAATATTTTTACAAATTAGAGCTTTGTGACATAGCTTAAATCAAATAATACAACTCGAAGTTTACAAATCGAATACATAAGTAAGGATCATATGAATATACATGCCTACAAAGTTACGGTATAATTATATGGAAGAGATGCTGGAAATCCTACTATGATAGTACCCCTCAATAGGCTCAAGCCAATAACATACGAATGAAAACATCTGAACATTGAGCTTACAAAACCCAATAGTATAATCGCTAATCTAGAGTAATATTATGAGTCTCATAAACACAAACATGCTAAAGACATGATACTAAGCAGTAGGTACATACATGATCAATATTGAGTGCTACCTACTTAAGGTTCAACCGTTATATCACTATAGTGTAAGTCTCACACTTCCCTTAGTCTATGCTAAGGGCCTCGCCATGAACAAACGTATACTAGGTCTCTAACCTCAGTATCATACTACAATGCATCATTATTCTACACACAATCATCAAACACATAAACAAGGGTAGGCAACATGATGTAGTTAAAGGGTCACTTAGCATATCAGAACTCACAACACTCTATCCTACCCAAGGTATGCTAAATAAAACTTGATTCACTTAGCATCGAAATCTTCATCTAGAAAGGCCCTCATTGACCAATACCTAGAGTGGCTCCAGGGTCACTGTAACACCCATCTCCCATATACCTTTCCTTACACGAGATACGGATGTCACATCACCTTTAAAATATTTTGTCATTTGAAAATTTGTAGAATTTTGTTTAAATTTTTAACAACCTCAAGGTATGATATTCATAGAAGCAAAATACTAAAACTATCAATTTAAATACATTAAAAAATATTCAATTTAGTTCCATTACATGCTAGCTAAGTTTTCAAAAGGAATAAGATTGTCCTAACGTTAGTGACAGGTCAAACTTAATTGATGATCGCCGTTGCTATTGCCGCACTCCTTACACAACTAATCTTTGCCTTTACCTACGTGTGAAATCAACACACGTTAAGTATTTACTTAGTGAGACATAATACTACAAAGATATCAAACTTTATACATAAATATCTTATGCATACTGAATGACGATTTAAATTGCAAAATCCATAAAGACCATAATTCTTTCAATAAGTCATCTAAATTATTCTTAGTAGACCCAACCTATATATTATTCTATATATATTTTCCCCCAATTATTCTTTCTTTCCACGGTGTACATTAAATTAGAACGTATTATACATGTATTGTACGAAACTGCCAATTAATCATATATCTTTTATAATCATTATGGGCGGCACCTTAAATACTGTTAACACACCATTTTGTATTTTCATTTGAGTATCATTTCTTACCCATTATGTACTGTTTACGATTTTCTTTATGACATTCCTTAATACCCATTATGCATTGTTGTACATTTTATATCTATATTGCATCCTTTCATACCACTTATGCACCGTTTATTTCAAAATGCATTATAATTCCTTCAGTCTTTTACCCAAAGGCATTTAACCTTTCATCTAACTTGCATGATTGACATGTTTCTGCCAAATGCACATCTAGGCCATTTATCTTTTACTCAACGGTATTAAACCGTTCATCTAACTGGCATAATTGACACTTTTCTGCCAAATGCACAACTAGGCCATTTATCTTTTACTCAACAGTATTAAACCGTTCATCTAAATGGCATAATTGACACCTTTCTGCAAAATGCACAGCTAGGCCATTTATCTTTTACTCAACGACATTGAATCGTTCATCTAACTGGCACAATTGACACCTTTCTGCCAAATGCACAACTAGGCCATTTATATTTTACTCAACGGTATTGAACCATTCATCTAACTGGCATAATTGAATCTTTCTGCCAAATGCACAACTAGGCCATTTATCTTTCACTCAACGGTATTCAACCGTTCATCTAACTGGCATAATCTTTCTACCAAATGCACAGCTAGGCCATTTATATTTTACTCAACGATATTGAACCATTCATCTAACTGGCATAATTGAAACTTTTCTGCCAAATGCACAGCTGGGCCATTTATCTTTTACTCAATGGTATTGAATCGTTCATCTAACTGGCATAATTGACACATTTCTATCAAATGCACATCTAGGCCATTAGTCTTTTAAACTTAGAATAGTTTCTACTTTAATAGTTGTTTATAATATCAATGAACTCTCTCAACTCAGTATAAACTCTATAGTTTACATTGGTAGTGCTAATACCGTCATTTATTAACTCTTACTATAATTTACGTGAGTTGCATACCCACTACCAATACGAAAATTCACCTACTTATTATGAACTTCTTATATTTATACATATATTTCCCATACAGAAATTTATACACTTAGTATGGATTTCTTAGTTTTGCACACATAGTGCCCATACGAAAATTCATACACTTAGTATGAATTCCTTAGTTTTGCACACATAGTGCCATTTGGTAATCACCATACATATATCAATCAATAATATACCTACAACTACCATAACATATACATACATAATAAATGCACTCACTTGGATTCTCTAGCTATAATATTCAAAATGCAAAGTTGATCACTCTGGTACTTTACTTTGTCTTTAGTTTTGCTTGACTCAGGAGCTTGATTTCGATCTACTCAAGAATCCAATAAAGACACATACAATATCAATTATTAGTATATTTCCTAACAATTATACTTAAACGTTACTCAATAGTACATATTATTAACTTTCTATAACAATATCAACCTATTTTTAACATTTTTGGCTTAATAGTATCGATACCCCCACCATGGTATCGATACTACTATACTATGGTATCGATACTCTATTACGGTACTGATACCATTTTTGCATTCTGTGATCAATGGTATCGATACCATCATTATGGTATCGATACTCTCCTCTTGGTATCGATACCACTTTGAATCGGTATCGATACTACTCAACAGATTCTACTGATTTTAAGCCTATAGTATCGGTAATGTTCTATCAATATCGATACATGTGGCCATAATTTCTAGTTTTTAACCCGATTATCACCCAAATAGGGTCAAATTTCGTTATGATTACACCATACAATACTATTAAACTCTTCTTTACTTATTCATACTAACTTTCCTTCATTTAGTTTCTTAAAACATCTAAAATCTTCCAAGAACATTCAATTCTAATAATCACACCACTTTTTCTAATATGTTTTTAAACTCATCCAATGCTTCTAATCTCTTATTTACTTCATTGACAAGTCAAATCTACTATTAAACATCAATAAACACTCCTATCATAACATATCATTTCAAAACCCATTTCTTTAAATCTCTTATGAAACATCCATCACTTAATTTTAATCTTCTTTAATCCTTTCTTAAGCTCACATAACACCTAATGTTACCAAAGCAACCTATAATTTAAAGAAAGAACTAGTTAAGGGAAGATTACCTTATGCTAGAGAGGAGAGCAATGCCAACGTGAAGACGAATATGAAATGCTTTACTTTCCTCTTTCCTCCTATTTATAATCCCTAATATATTTTTAAATTCATTTTTCCTCTTAAAAGACCAATTTTCCCTTTTAACTCATCTATTGATACAATTTAGTTCAAAACACTATTCCAAATCATTTTCTCATCTTTTACCATTTATTCAAATAAATCTTCAAATTTTGAAATCTTTTCAATATAGTCTCTGACCTGATATTTGGGGTATTACAATCACATAGAACCAGAGCCTACGTCCTTCTAGTATACTCCTTAGAGTACTTGGGACGCCTCTAGGGACACATAACATCAGAGTCTATGTCCAACTAGCGTTTTAAGTTTCTTAACACTGACTCAGACATATCTGGAAACTTTTAGCAAATAAGACGATTTTCGTATACACACAATATTCAAGGGTACCTATAAGATAACACATTAATCAATGTCGTACAAAGGAATTTAAGGTAGCTCGGCTATTCACTAACATAATTCATCACAATAGGGTAAAGTAGCTTATTAGAGAAGTATTGGTGGTCCTAAACCCTTTTCCAAACCTTTAAACTAAAGTTAGGTTTCTTGCCCAATTTAGTACGATGGTATCGATACTAAGCACCTTAGTATCGATACCTTCCCTCAGTATCGATACTTACCTTGGGTATCAATACCAAATTTGACTACTATAATTTATATCTTAATGATGGTATGTATACCTCACTCTTTGGTACCGATACCTGATAAAAAATATCGATACTATTAAACAAAAACCCTAGTTTTAGTCATTTATAATATTCTTAATAAGTCTTCATGAAGCATTCATTATAGAGCTAAACGTCTCTTATCATTAGTTAACCAATATGCAACTAAAACTCTTACTAGTAGTATATGTTAGCTTATTCACTTAGGGTCATAAGGGTAATTTGGTAATTTTACATGGCACACATTTTTCTATCCCATTATTCATATACTACACCACCTAACTTACAAGTATATCTTTTAAAACTATCTGTGGTTCGTGAATATTTAAACATACTCCTTTAAGGGTACTTTTCAGGTTTCTTTCTTATTAAGGGTATTTTGGTAATTTATGCCACCTAGGGGGCATTTGGGTTATTTCATAATTTAGGACCCTTTTCTAAGTGTATTTATACATTTTAAAACAACCTATAACCATTTGGGTGCAACAAGTGATGTTTTGAATCTTTTGGAATTAGATAGTATTGATATACTAAGTAATATATATATTACAACAATATTGATATTGATATTAATACGAGTATTGATACTAAAATAGTATTGATACTGGTATTGATACGAGTATTGGTAATATAATAGTATCGATACAAGTATCAATACTAGAATAATAGTATTAATACTACAAGAACAATTTCATTACTACAACCTAGAAAACCTTAAATAAGGCTCAGGAATCACCTAAAAACTCTTCCAAACACTCTATTTGAACCCCAAATCAACAAATAAACCTTAAGGGAGTCTTATGGGATCATTTAACACATAAAACATATTCTTTACAACAATAACATCATCTAGGGAATAAATCAAGTAAAAACGCCGCAAGAAGCGCCAGCAATACCAACGCCGCTAAAGTTAACGGCGTTTGAGAACAAAAAACGCCGCAATAGGTCAATATATATTACGGTGTTTTTTGAACAAACGCCGTAAAAGGTCGATATCTATAGCGGCATTTTTGGAACAAACGCCGCAAAAAGTTATGATATATAGCGGCGTTTCTAGAAAAAACGCCGCAAAAGGTCAGATCTATAGCGGCGTTTTTGGATACAAACACCGCAAAAGAGCAGACCTATACTGGCATTTTTAGAACAAACGCCGCAAAAGGTCAGACCTATAGCGGCGTTTTTGGACACAAACGCTGCAAAAGGTCAGACCTATAACGGCGTTTTTAAACACAAACGCCGCAAAAAGTCAGACCTATAACGGCGTTTTTGGATACAAACGCCGCTAATTACCTTTCTTTAGCTAATATTAATAATTTATTTTGCATATTTCATTTCTGCTATACATCACCTAAATTTATATCTAGCTTTATCTAATTAACAACAACCATACATTTTAATTAAGACAAAAAACATAAAGAAAAATACTTAACAACAAAATAAATTAAAGTTTTTTTTATGGAGAGAGAACCTTAAAAGACATTAAAGTACAAATGAGTTACAAATGAACCTCAAAGTGTAGATATACATGGATTTGTTGTTCGATACATCCTCAATTTCACTAGCGTCATCATCATAACCTCCAGATATGCCTTCTAAAGCTACTTTGTTTCCCACTTCATTGGAATTTGTCAAATTCATCGTCTTGACATCTTATTTGAAAGTATCATTTGACAGTGAATGATCTCTCCTCAATAGATTAAAAACAAATGGGAAACGTTATGCCAGTCTATTGAAGAAGCCGCTTTTTGTTGAAGTTTGTTCTTCAAGATTACTGCAATTACAATAATTTAGATGAGACTAAGAAGAGAAGGAAACAACCAACAGAACTTGCATTCATAACCTACATGTGAGTGATTGAGAACTGAAAAAAGATGTTGCAACAAACAACAAAAACAGGAAGTCAGGAACCATGAAAGCTTTATCTGCTTATAGTGAATGTTGAACCCAAAAAAAGAACGGCACATGTCAGCTATATCTAAAATGACAAACTATTATTACTGAATACACTACATATGAGTACAGTTTTTACATATTCTACAGCAACATTATCATGTAGTGCTGTCGGTAAAAGTAAAACTGGAGATGATGGCGTACAAAGCATTTCTAGCAAAAAGAAAAGTTTGGCTCCCAAATGTTCTAAATAATCTAATTGGGAGATGACTTTAACATAACATTGAAAATAAGAATAAAAGTTACATGCCCTGTGCTTTTCATATTTTGTGACAATGCCTAGATCTTTTTGATATTCAGCTGCAGAAATGAGGATCTTCAATTATGCGCTATTGTTTCTCAGATCCTAATTTGGAGATTGTAAAATTTTGTATTCTTGATCCCCCATTGTCAGTCAGGAGGATGCCACAAGCTTCACCAACATAGCCTTATTCATATATCTTCTTTTTCTTCAGAAGGGTAGGAAATATGGAGACCATCCCGATAAGGAAAAGCACAGACAAGGTCTTGAAATCATAGAGGTCCTTAACAGACCTGAGATCCCCAAGTGCGAGGCCAGCCTGAAAGAAGATACAATGGTGGTCTTAAATCAGATAAGTTATCTGAATATATATGGTTGCCATCTTTTTCTATCATTTGACTTGCATACAACACCAACGGATTGAAATGAATTAAGTCTCAACACAAAGTTAGAGACTCGATTCCATTACAACGAATGATCCATTAGATGTTGCCAAATAAATATACCCAAATGACATCCATTGAACCCAACCTGACATTAGGAAAATGTATCCAGGGAAATTCAGTAATATATGAAGTAAGAACCCTATTACAATAAGAACCGATTCTTTATCAACAAGCACCTACTTCAAACTTTTTTTTTATAGAAATCTCCCTAGTTAGTCTCTATGGTTGAACAACTCAATATTTGGCTAAAAGTAGAAAACTGATGTAGATGGATATGTATAGTGATCTTGTAGAAACTTTTCTTATTCCAAATTGTTAAGAATACACATCAATTAATATAAAACCTTCACAAACAAGGCATATCAATAAATTGGATATGACACAAGCATCTTTTTTCTTTCAACGGACATTTTCAGGCGACAATACCAACAATAACAGAAAAGAAGATAGGGTAAAACAAGTGAAAGATGCTAAATTAAGAGGGAAAACACGAACGAACGAATAGTTCCAAAGACAGTAACAAGATGAAAATTGAAGGTACCTCAGCTTGAAAAAACCTTAATTTATCAGGCCACAAACAACTGACCAAAGGTCTGCCAATCAGCTTTGATAGAAAAAAGCAGGAGCATGCTCCAGCCGTGGCATTGAAGACAACTAAGAAAAGGCCTTTAACACCAAAGAGAGCTCCAGCTAGCAAAGACATGAAAATCGTTCCAGGAATCATAAAAGTTTGCATGAAGATATAAGTTGAGCAGTAACCCAAAATGAATTGTGTTGGGTAATCCTTTGCATATGTTGCAATATTATCTCTGAAAAAGAACAGAAAAACAAGGACTTCAGTAAAATAAGTTGCACCTAAAACATCACAGAAAGAAGTTTCACGACAAAGTAGAAGCACCCGGCAACAAGAAAGTAGTAAATAAACAAGTAAACTAAAGTACATGATAGAAATAAATTAGGAATGGTAATTTCAGCAACAATGCATTATTAATACATAGCTGGATATACTCGGTATGCAATATTCTCCCTACAATTTGCATTATTCTATGCCCTCACATGATCCACATATGAACTAAACTCATCATTAGTCATAGATTCCTTTTAAACTCCCTAGTGCTACACATTAAGGACAAAACAAATCAAAGGATTCATTCCGAGCAGAATATAAATGATAAGAGTTCTCATCCACAACTATCTTCACCTACAATATAACACAAAAAAGGAGGCATATTTCAATTTAAAAAAAATTAACTACAATTATAAGTTAAAATATTCCCAATAGTTCTCTCTAGCTCAAAATCCTATATAAACCACAAGAAATCTAAAATGGGCATTTCCAAAATCAACAGCAATGATGAAATCCAAGGATTTGGCACACAAATTAAGCTTATTTCTTCATCAATTGAGAGAGAGAACACCAATTTTTATTATAAAGGGGGGGGATCCTACTTGAGCAATCGTAGATCAGAGATGGAACGAGGGATCTTGAGTTTCCCGTACTCGGTAGCGGGCATGGTCAGGTAGATGCAGAACAAGCCGGTAGAAAAAATCAAGAAAACCCCGAAAAAGGAAGCCAATTCCCACCTTGAAACGGGGAACCTCTCCGATTTTAACCTCTTCCCCGACGGAGAATCGTCATCTTCCTTGCTGCTGATGCTCAACAACGCCGTCGCAGCACTCTCCTCGTCCTTCAACATATTCCTCGGAGCTGTCATTTTAGAACATCGACAAGATGAAAGTGCACAGAAACAAAGCTGTTGGGGGAACTTAGGATCCCAAAAGAATATAATGACGTTAATAAATGGAAACAAAAGGTTGCTGAAGAATTAAAGAATCGTTTATGTGGGAATAGAATGGGGTGTTATGATGAACCCTATTTTGAAGAGAAATTTTTTTGAATTGGATGTGCGAGACCCCAAAGACCTTTAAAGCAATGCTTTCTTTTCGATGCCCAGACTAAATCTATGGAATTAGGGTTTTGTTTCAATATGTTAAAGTAGTGTTCAGTAGCAACATTTTTTTACGTAAACGCCACTAGGTAATATGACAATTGCGGCGTTTGGTATTAAAACGCCACTAAAGTATGAGTCTATCGCGGTGTTTGTGTAAAAACGCCACTAATGTACGAATCTATAGTGGCGTTTGGTATTAAAACGCCACAAAAGTACGTGTCTATAGCGGCGTTTGTGTAAAAATGCCACTAAAGTACGAGTCTATAGCGGCGTTTGGTATTAAAATGCCATAAAAGTACGTGTCTATAGCGGCGTTTGTGTAAAAATGCCACTAAAGTACGAGTCTATAGCGGCGTTTGGTATTAAAACGCCACAAAAGTATGTGTCTATAGCGGCGTTTGTATAAAAACGCCACTAAAATACTAGTTTATAGCGGTGTTTGTATAAAAACGCCACTATATTACAATTATTTAGCGGCGTTTTTATACAAACGTCACTAAAGTATAATATTTTGCGACGTTTGTTCAAAAACACCGCTATATGTAAACAATTACCGGCGTTTTTAGTAAAAACGCCGCTACATCCGCCGTTAAAAACCATTTTTGCTGTAGTGAATTAAACCCCTAAATCTTAACAAAGCATCATGATTATGAAAGCCATAAAATCACAAAAGTTTAGAAATACACTACCTTAGTTTAGGAATCGAAAATGAAGCTCATTTCTTCAATTACTCTTTTTCTCTCTTCTCTATTTGTGTTTGAGCACTCTAAACCCACTTTCTCTAGCTAACAAAAAACCCAAGAATTCCTTAGCACAAATAAGGTTATAGGACGGATTAAGGATGAGTTTAAAGTCTAAAAAGGTGAGAAAGGAGGTTCTTACCTTCCATGTGAGCAATTGAGCTCAAAGGAAAATAAGAAGAAGATAAAAGAAGAAGACAAATAAAAGGCTTTTAGACAAAAAAATCCACGCCCAAAATAAAATAAAACCCCTAATATCCTTCATGTTTTTTCTTCAATGGTATAATTACTCTTTTGGTCCTTTACATTTTTCATTTTATTCAAAAATCCCCTTTTCATAACCATTTGGTCCCAATTCCAACCTAATTAAATTGCCACTCAGCCTAACGACTTTAATTACGAACTCCATGAGGTCCACATACCTCTCAAGTAAAAATGAAAATACTAACATGGGATTTAGGATGTTACAACTCTCCCCTCCTAAAAATAAATTTGGTCATCAAAATTTACTTGGATTGAATAAAAAGCTACCCTTCGATCAAACGCTTAGAAACGTTAAAGCATCCAAACTCTCATCTAGTTTGATCCTTAAGGAAAAAGCCCCCTCAATACGGGATGAAACTCAAAAACTCACAAAATTGATTTATGATTTCCCAAGGGACGTTACCCACGTCGAACCTTAAGTAAAAACCTTCGAGAGGAACAAATCCAAATAATCTAATCTCGATGTCTAACACTAAATGCTCAGAATGTTTCATAAGAACAAACACTTCTCCACGACTCGTTTGCACTCGTTAAACCGTTCACTTGCTAACTCTACATAATGAAGTTAACATAGCGCACAACTCTAGAGCATCTAGAACTTAGGTAACTCATCGTACTACTCATTGAGGTTATACAAGCACTTGTCACACACTGTCTTGATATTGACCACTGATGATATGATGATGATTCTTAACTTTCTGCATATCAATGTAACGTTTTCACTGTGCAAATATGATTCAATATTCATCCATGACACTCGACCGATTCTCATTTTCTTTACAGTTCACACATACAATACTCACCAAATTGTTTATCTATGGTAATCAAAATTGAGAATCAATTACTTGTTTAGAGAAACTACCAACATCTAGCTCTCTTAGAGAGAACACACCACATAGAAGAGATCATTTGCAATTGTACTCTGACTTTAGAATTCTATGACTCTACATTTTGTACACACGATCGCTTACCACAAGTTTGCTATTCAATGTCAGTTAATGCTAGTCAAACGACACTTAAGGTACTCGGTCTCCTCTAACCTCAAGCACTATAATCCACAATGCTACTCAACCTCACATAACATTATGAGTTGTATATAACTCACACTCATATATCCATATGAATACATCAAAGAAGAAGTTTGGTAGTAAAGCTCAACACTGATCCAACACACACATACAAACATTTTGGTGTAGTCTAAGATCACACAACATCGTAAAACTTACACCCTCACTAGTCTACTAACATAGGTATGTTAGATGATACCTAGGACTCACTTACATCTAGAATATACATCCAACATCCCTACACAAGTAGTACCTCAACACTTTAAACATTTTCTTGGGGACATATACCTCAAAATTCAAACATATAATTACCTCAAGCTTTGTTGAAATGGTCACACAAACCTTAGACTCTCAGTGGAAACACAAGCTCTCATGGTCTTAGTATTATCCTTGAAAAGCCACTTAGTTACTCTCTTATGGAATACTCTCGAGTGTATGAATCTGCTACCAACGTCTAATTAAAGCTAACCCTCAACTTAACAAGGAGCAATCAAAGGTTCTTAAATGATTACAA